TTGCATTGTTCATTTAAGAAGGCCCTCTTGTCTCTCCTTGCTATTCTTTGGAAGTCTGTGTTCAGTTTTCTGTAACTTTCCCTGTCTCCCTTGCATTTTGTTAACCTTCCCTTCTCTGCTATTTCTAAGGCCTTGATGGACAGCCACTTTGCTTTCTTGCATTTCCTTTTCTTTGGGATGGTTTTTGTTGCTGCCTCCTGTACAATGTTATGAGTCTCTATCCAAAGTTCTTCAGGCACTCTGTCCACCAAATCAAGTTCCTTAAATCTGTTCTTCACTTCCACTGTGTATTCATAAGGGATTTGGTTTAGATTATACCTGACTAGCCCAGTGGTTTTTCCTACTCTCTTCAGTTTAAGCTTGAATTTTGCTATGAGAAGCTGATGATCAGAGCCACAATCAGCTCCAGGTCTTGTTTTTTCGCTGAAAAGAAAAGAGCTTCTCCATCTTTGGCTGCAGAGAATATAATCAATTTGATTACAATATTGCCCATCTGGTGATTTCCATGTGTAGAGTCGCCTCTTGTGTTTTTCGAAAAGAGTGTTTGTGATGACCAGCTTGTTCTCGTGACAAAACTCTATTAGCCTTTGCCCTGCTTCGTTCTGAACTCCAAGGCCATATTTTCCTGTTATTCCTTTTATCTCTTGACTCCCTACTTTAGCATTCCAATCCCCTAGAATGAGAAGAACATCTTTCTTTCGTGTCAGTTCTAGAAGGTGTTGTAAGTCTGCATAGAATTGGTCAATTTCAGTCTCCTCAGCTTTGGTGGAGAATGAAAGTTTATTCTGAAAATTTCCAAAGGTACAGCTATGCTATTCAGGACTGCAGCAAGCTCAACAAAAGGCTCAATGCGCTTTAAAATGCTAAGAAATACTATATATATTGGCATAAGCTTTTGTTGACTGGAGAACACTGTGGGCTTGAAGGACTTGTGTCCACAAAAGGATTATTGCATAATAAATTGTTTGGGCTTCATTGGGCAACAAAATGCTTTTATATGGGTTGGAGAGAGTAAAATTTCTAAGCTACAACCTTGGCATCAAGATTTTCTTAGAGATATAAATAAAAACAGCATCTTGCACAAGGAGGAGGTAGTACTATGTAAAGAGCCAACCTTTATGCTTTATGTCTAAAAACAGCTTGCTTATTCCAAAGGCATTTTACCTACCTTTTTGCCCAGGCCTAGTATATTAGAAAGAGAGGTTGGCAGAAATCAAAATATTAGTGAAGAGGCGGTACTTTTCTACTGGAACTTGGGAGTTTAGCCTGGAAGTATAAGCTTAATCCTATCAAGACAATCCTTTTAGAAGGATGGTACCTTGAAAGCCCTGTTTCCAGGTCAGCCAATTTAAAGAGAGGATCATTATAGCTCATATATGGGGGAGCTGGAAACTGGCAGATTTGGCAGTCCTCTTGCGCAGAATAAAATATGGAGGAGTACATTGGTTTTATGTCACACATTACAAAATATAAACTGAACCTCTTATATTTGTATAATGCAGGTCTTTCAGCAAGTACAGCAAAATACAGTCTACTTCTCTGAATATATTTGCCCTAGAAAAGAGAGATGCTTTTCTACATCTGAGAAGCACCGATGACTGCCTTCAGGAAAGAAACAAGTTCCTGTTCTTCCATGTGCACAAGCTTAGCTCTTTTCATGTACATTGTGTGTAAACAAATACTTTTTATCTTGATCCCATTGCAGCATGACAGTGAAGCCTGGCCACTTTATTCAGAGGGCAAAGTGGGCATTTGCCCAGGGTACACTGTCTGTAGGGACCCACATAAAGCGGAATGGATTGGCCAGAACAGCTGCCGCCACTAGCAGAACTGGAGGACCCTCCAGTACGCATGACTCCCTCCTCTGCCTCCCCTCTGATCTAAAGCTTTGTTTACTTATTTACTGCTACCAAGATTTCCTTCTTAGCCAGTTAGTCTTTTTTATGTTATACAGTGGTGCCTCGCTAGACAGTTGCCCTGCATGACAGGTTTTTTTGGTAGACACTGATTTTTTGCGATCACTACAGCGATTCGCAAAAACAGTGATTCCTATGGGGGAATTTCGCTGGACAATGTTTGGTCCCTGCTTCACAAACAGATGATGATTTTGACTGCTCCCTCCACACTCGCAAAACAGGTGTTTCCGGGACCTAAGCTTCGCAAGACAGCAATTTAAACAGCTGATTGGCGGTTCACAAAGCGGCTTTCCTATGGCCCATCTTCACTAGACAACGACGATTCTTCCCCATTGGAATGCATTAAACAGGTTTCAAGGCATTCCACTGGGGAAATGCTTTTCGCTAGACAATGATTTCGCTAAACAGCGATTTCAGTGGAATGGATTATTGCCTAGCAAGGCATCACAGTGGTGCCTCGCTTAACAAGCACTTCGTTTAACGACGAATTCATTTAGCGATGGCTTTTTCGGAGTGATCTTGCACTCCGTTTAATGATGTTCCCTATGGGCGATTTTCGCATAGCGATGTTTGGAACCATGTTTCGCATAGCGATGACAGTTTGGGTCCCCCTGTTTTGCTTAACGATCGTTTTGACAGCCTCCTGTTGGCTGTTTTTTATATGTTTAAAAATGTTTTTAAAATGTTTAGAATGCTTGAAATCATAAGTGCACTTAATAAACACTTTGTTAAACTAATTCGACTTTGTTCCGACTCTTTTTAAATTTTGTTGAATTTCCCCCCCCCCATTGAGATGCATTGAATAGGTTTCAATGCATTTCAATTGGGGAACTGCGTTTCGCTTAGCAATGTTTCCTATGGCGATTTTCGCTTAAGGATGGCAATTCGTTCCTATTGGAACGGATTATCCGGTTTTCAATGCATTTCAATGGGATGAATTTTTTGGAACGAATTAAAATTGTTAAGCGAGGCACCACTGTACATTGTTCATGTTGTACAACCTATTTAGGTGGCAAGTAAGGGAGAGGGAGGGAGGAGGAAGGTCCTTCCCACTGTTGTATTTTTTGCCCTGGACCCATCAGAGCCTTGAATCAGCCCTGCAGTGAAGAAGGAATGTGTGGAAAGTAAGGGAGAGGGAGGGAGGAGGAAGGTCCTTCCCACTGTTGTATTTTTTGCCCTGGACCCATCAGAGCCTTGAATCAGCCCTGCAGTGAAGAAGGAATGTGTGGATGGGAGTGTAGTTATGGCTCAAGACTACATGTCTGTGGATATTCAGAGTCTGTTATCAATGCTAGAAAGCCACCACAGGGGAACAAAGGGGAGGGTGTGCACACACGCATGCATGGTACACAATGTCTTGCACTCACCATAGCAGCCAAAAAACAGGCAGGCTCAAAGTCTGAGCGTGTCTGATTGCCATGCAGCCTGACTTCACTCAACTAGATCTTTTTCTCATCACAGAAGCTAGAAGAGCCAAATCACTGCTGCCTACAAAAATAAATGAGTTTTGCCCCCACCAGCAAGGAGTTTACTCCCCCTCCCCCGATGCAAGTAAGAAGAGCCTCACTAAATCCTGAGCGTAAAGCAATTTTTGAGGAGATAAAACTATATACTGTATAAAACTAAGCCAGAATTGTAATTATTTTCAATCTTTCTTGTTCAGAAGTAACTTAGTAGTTGCTTCTAGTTATATTAAAAACCTGCAAAATGGAGGAACAGGGCTGCAGTAGTCAGTCCACTTTTCTGTAAAAAGTAGTTAACTGAAAGTTGGAATTACAGTACATAGCAAAATGAGTTACCACCTTTATTTTACATTAATAACGTAATTCGGCCACGCCTGAAACAAAAACAGAGTAAAAACACTGAACTTATTATTTGCGCTACTGGCTTCTGAGCTTTGGATATCAAATAAAGACAAAGAACCTTGCCATATTTTAAACACGATCTAAAAAGAAGAGACCGGCGTGGCGTAAACCTTCAGCGACTTCATAAGAGATTCAAATGTGATCCTTCGTTGTCAGGTACGTATGTATAACTACTGTAAAAGCAGCCCTGCAAATCAAACAAACATTCAGAAGGGTGCAGTGGCGGGCCATGACCTGCGTCACGTGACTCCGCCCTCTTCCCTTTCTTTCTTTCTCGTTTAAAAAGCCCAGCCAGTAGGAGAAGCGACCCTGAGGCCGCCCCAGTCTCTCTTAAAGACAACGGCGGGTTCCCAAAGAAAGCCTCGCCTCCCTCCCGTTCTCTCAGCCCTCCGTACTTTCTTGCAGGGAGGGGAGAGAAGCGGCCGCGCCTTCCACTCTTTTGCCTTCTCTCGGCTGCCGTAAACGGAGGTTCTTTTCTCTCTCTCTCTCTCTCTCCCCCCCCCCCGCGCCGAAGGAAGGGCGCGCGCGGGGATGGGGGCGGCGAGTTGATTCCCGCAGTGCCTGACGGGACGGGCTGAGAAGTTAGTTGTGAAGAAGTGTGGAAAAGGTCCGCTCGCGGCTCTCCCGGGCGGGCGCTTCGGGGAGGGGAGGACGGGAACCCGCCCGCCTTAAGACGTTCGTGGACGCCCGCTCCTGCCCTGCGAGACTTCATGCCGACGAGGAGAGCTGGCTAGAGCGCTCTTTTCCCGGGGGGTGTCTCGGCCAAGGGGGAAGGTGAGGGGGGGGGAGCCCGGCGTCTCTCACGGAGTTTATATGTGTCTCTGGGAGTCATTCGCTTCCTCCTCCTAGGGCAGACGGACCTTCCCGGGGTGGAGCGGGGCTCCAGCTGCCCGCCAACGGGGCGGGGTTTCGGTGTGTTTTGAAAGCTGGGGAAAAAAAACCTCCCCTGTTAAACCACACTGGCTCTTCGATGCCGGAGGGGAGAAAGGAGAGGGTCCCCTGTACCTTCCCGGTTGCTTCTCGGTGCAAACCAGGATAACTAACCAGTTGCTTCTTTTGGGGGCTGACAAGTCTATGGGCTTGTCTACACGGCTGAGCTGGAGTGGGGCTGGATCGGACTAAATGGGATAGCTAGGAGGTCCAGCATGCCATTTGGTGCGATCCTCGCATCCGAATGGCATAGGGATCTCAAGTGATTCCCTTTGGTCCACAGTAGTTTGCCATCAGTTTGCCAGTATCAGGAAGTGGCTTAAGAAGAGAAGTGCCTTCAGCTACCTGGAGGGATCGAGAGAGTGAAAAATAACTTTTAAATTATACATGACAGTGGCAAACATATACCACAGCACTTTTAAAATAACGTTAGGTATGTACATTAGGAATACCTACCTAATATGCATACCTAACTTGTAATACACATACATAATGCTGTTCTTAAAGTGATGCAGTGTGCATTTGCTGCTTTTATACTCATTTTGAATGGGTTGAATAGCTCCGTGCGTTAGGTATCTGACTACTGAGTAAAAGGTTGGGAGTTCGATTTCCTACTGTGCAGCCCAGAAGAGCCAGTCTGTGTTGCCTTGGATGTTCCAGGATGCCTCCAGAAGAAGGGAATGATAAATCACTTCTGAGTATTCCCTACCTAGAAAACTTTGAAAAGGGTCAGCATAATTAGCATTGACAGCATGCAATTATAATTAATTAACACACACTTAAATACATTTTTTAAAAACTTCGTCAGCCCCTCTATGGAGCTGTTTAATTTGCCAATATTCTAAAGTGGATGTCTTCACAGTATTAACAAATTAGAAAAGGAAGCCTCACTTTGGTTTGTTTCAATGATCACGCACACTGGCAATGGACCAAGACACAGCAATCCTGCCTGCACCAATAAAGAATCCGCTCTTGACAGGACCCAGGAAGGTACAGGTAGGATCATTCTGGGGACAGGCTGGTTCACTCCATCACAGACATTGTCTGATCTCTGTCTTCAGGAGGAAACTAGCTTGTCTCTTCAGTGGGTCAGATAGCAGGCTTAATGCCTGTATAGTCAGCCTCTGTCTTTATAGTTAATCCTATATAGTATTTCAACAAGAGGTAAAATCCACTAGGGTCAGTAGGGCTTAATCCCAATTAACCATACACAGAAGTACTTATGGCTCTGTAAGTGATTCTTATAATTTTCTTGTGATTTAAAATTTGGTATAGATCAAGGTGGCTTGTGAGCACTCAGTACACATCTCACAAACAGGTAGTTTTACAAAAAAAAGTCTTATGTAAAGAGTGCTTTTCAACCAGATAATATCTTTGTGACTTGAACATCTCTTATTTATCCAACAGGGTTGGTTACGTATGACAAATACACATATGTCAATATTCCTTCCCATTGTATTACATCGTGGGAAGTAGCAATTCTGTAACATTTTAAGAACTCTCCAGACTGCTATTTACTTGTTTTACGCTACTTAGTAAGTTTTCCCTTCATTTATAGAATGGCCATCTGAATTCCAATATGAACTTTGCAGACCCCCTTTGCATAGGTGCTGTTGGAAATTAGGGTTCTGAAACTTTTGTGAATCAAAGTTAATCTCATAAACTTTTATTAACTGCCTTGTTCGTTTTGTCACAAACAATATTATTCTCGAAGGCTTTCATGGCTGGGATCTGATGGTTGTTGTAGGTATTTTGGGCTGTTTGGCCATGTTCTGGAGGTTTTTCTTCCTAACGTTTCACCAGTCTCTGTGGCCTGCATCTTCAGAGGACAGGAGTCAGATCCAGAGCACAGACAGAGTGAATTAATATCAGTAATTAAATAATTCTTTCTTCAATCCTGGGCTTACTTGACTAACCTGCAACATGAAGGATTGTGAGTGAGTCAGGTGAGCCCCAGAATTTGAACAGGAACTTCTAAATTATTGGCAATCCTCCCCCCCCCCGCTCCTTATATTACCTTTATGCAGGGGTAATTTATGCAACAGGATTTTGGCCTAAGTTTAGGTTAACATGCAAGATTGCAGCTGTGTGTGCCTTGATGCATAATAATCATGTGCCACTGCAGCAATTGCTTGCCATAATTTATTGTTGCTGCTTACTCAGCATAACAGTTTTCCTGATTACAAGTAATACTGAGTATTACAGTAATTTGTAGATGGTTATAATTGTGTAATTGCCCTTATTCAAGAGTGCCTTTTTTCTTTTTTTTTGTTCATAGGTACAGCCATGCAGGAAAGCATCCGCTTTGCTTCATCAGGAGATGATGATGTTAAAATATGGGACGCTTCATCCATTACTCTAGTAGACCAGTTCAGTCCTCATGCTTCATCCCATCCAGTTAATGCTGTATGTTGGGGTAGCAACAGTATCCTTTTACATTGCACGGGGTGTAGTATTTGGTACTGTCTTTTGCATTGTTTGGTAGTTTTAAAAAAGCAGATATTTTAATGGAGGTAGGTTTGAAGTAGTTTATGTAGTTGGTAAGTCTGGCCTGATGTAATTGTAGGCCTATGATGGTTTAATATTAGTAAGTCTACTCTGCATAGGATTGACACTAAATTTAGCAGAGAGGAGAAACTATGACCCTCAATATGTTTTTGGAGTATATTTCCCATTAGCTTTAGTCAACATAACTAACTGTGAAGTATTATTGAAGTGGACATTTGGAGAGCCACAGTGGCCCACCCATAATTTAATCAATGTGTCCAAAAATGAGAGCCAGAGTTATCCAAGTATGGGATGTATATCACAGGGTGTATGCTTTATTAGCATAGTCTTCATGTATAGGAATATTTCATATGAGACCATTTCAGATGTTGCTGCCTTGCTGTTTCCTTCGTTTTTTGCCATTGGTTGTACTGATTGGGGCTGATGGGAGCCGAAGTCAATAGACATCACGTGTTCCGTATCTCTGGTGTACATTATTTAGTCCAGGCAGAAGCCCTGTTCAAGCACTCAGCCTGAAAGCATGGAGGACTTGAAGGGTGGTGTGGAATCTCTGGTGTACATTATTTAGTCCAGGCACTCAGCCTGAAAGCATGGAGGGCTTGAAGGGTGGTGTGGACAGGGGTACATGCATGCATCTCTCTCTTCACATCTGTACACCAACTGGAAGTTCTAGAGACCACCATATGTTCACTCTGAATATCTGCATAGGCATGGTAGGTGCATTCAGCTAACATGCTTAGAATGTTCCTGTGACAGACAGATAAGGAAAGGCTACAGATCATGGAAATATTTTAAGTGTATTTCAATGAAAACATACAATACCTAAGCAGATTTTTGCACTGAATATGTGAGAGTCCACAAGACTTTCAGGTGAGCAGGGAGGGGGAGGCTTACCTGCAACACCATATCACACACTATATTTTAAGTCATCGCCACTCTCATGCTGAATGGGACTGGCATGTTTTGGCAATTTGATTAATTAATGCAGTAGTTTAAACAAACATCTTAAATGATTGCATCACCCTCGTTGTAACTTGACCATTTGAAAACAGATGGACCTCAGTACTGATGCCAGTAGCAGGCTACCTAGTATCAATCCCATGAAAATGTGGTCTATTACCAGTCTTGATTTATGTACCTTCCATCCTGTTGTGGTTTGCTTCTTCCATACCTCAGTGGTAATGCTAGATAACATAGCCAAGTACACTCGGAACTGGAACAAGTTATTTCTTTGGACTCCAACTCCCTCTAAGGAGTTGGGAGTCCAAAGAAGTAACTTTCCCCCTGTTGTTGTTGTTTACTCGTTAAGTCGTATCCGACTCTTTGTGACCCCATAGACCAAAGCACACCAGGCCCTCCTGTCTTCCACTGCCTCCTGGAGTTTGCGCAAATTCATGTTGATAGCTTCATTGACACTGTGCAACCATCTCCTCCTCTGTCTCCCCTTCTCCTCTTGCCTTCACATTTTCTCAACATCAGGGTCCTTTCCAGTGAATCTTCTCTTCTGATGAGATGGTCAAAGTATTGGAGCCTCAGCTTCAGGATCTGTCCTTCCAGTGAGCACTCAGGGTTGATTTCCTTAAGAATGGATCTGTTTGATCTCCTTACAGTCCAGGGGACTCTCAAGAGTCTCCTCCAGCACCACAATTCAAAAGCATCAATTCTTTGGCAGTCAGCCTTCTTTATGGTCCAGCTCTCACTTCCATACAACACTACTGGAAAAACCATAGCTTTGACTATTTGGATTTTTGTCAGCAAGATGATGTCTCTGCTTTTTAAGATGCTGTCTAGGTTTGTCATCACTTTCCTCCCAAGAAGCAGGTGTCTTTTAATTTAGTGGCTGCTGTCACCACCTGCAGTGATCGTGGAGTCCAAGGAAGTAAAATCTGTCACTGCCTCCATATCTTCCCCTTCTATTTGCTAGGAGGTGATGGGACCAGTGGCCATGATCTTAGTTTTTTTAATATTTAGCTTCTGACCATTTTTTGTGCTCTCCTCTTTCACCCTCATTAAGAGATTCTTTAATTCCTCCTCACTTTCTGCCATCAGAGTGGTATCATCTGCATATCTGAGGCTGTTGATATTTCTTCCGGCAGTCTTAATTCCAGCATGGGTTTCCTCTAGTCCTGCCTTTCTCATGATGCATGTAAGTTAAATAAGCAGGGAGACAATATATAGCCTTTTCCTACTCCTTTCCCAATTTTGAACCAATCAGTTGTTCCATATCCAGTTCTAACTGTTGCTTCCTATCCCACATATAGATTTCTCAGGTGATACTGTAGGTAAGGTGGTCAGGCACTCCCATTTCTTTAAGAATTTGCCATAGTTTGCTGTGGTCCACTTTCCCCCTAAGGTGCCTTAAAGACTGTAAAGGTGCAGAAATACTTCTTTGCACAAGCATTTAGTAGATGGCCAGAATCCTATTATCCTACAAATGCTAAGGATTCCAGCCAGTCCTTTTCAGCCTTCAAAAGGTCCCCCAACACGTTTTTTATTTGTAACTGAAAGTAAAACTGAACAGTTACTTTAGAACAGCATTAGAAATTATTACAAGCCATTTAAAAACCATTAAAAGTTTGGCAGAATAAAAATGTGCACACCTGAAACAGTTGGAGACAAAGCTACTTGGACTGCCTATTTGGAGCTACTTCCATAATTAGGATGCTGATACTGGAAAAAAATCCTTCACTGAACGCCAGTGTGACCAGTATATGTCCTGTGAGCCATGTTAAGAGCTTTTGCTGCTCTTTTGCGGTGTTGCTTGCCAAACCAGTTGGCAGTGTGGCAGCTGATTTATGTGTCCTAGGTTTGGTGAGCAGCTTTACTCTTTAGTCCCAAAGGGCTCATAGCATGGAAGGATTCTGTGGCTTTCTCTCACTTTCTGTTGCATTATGGGCAACCATTACAGTTGCTGTGAACCTACAGTAGCAAATTGAGTGGCTGTCCATCCCTTAGTGCACTTATCTGCTCTGGGGACTTTTCCTTGAAACACATCCTTTGAATATGAATGTTTTGCTTTGACTTTTCTTCAGTGAGAGAAACTGTCATCCCTACTGTGCACAGAACTCCGTTCTACCAGTCCAGCAACATAATTTTAATAAATAAGCATCTGGTAGTTTGCTAGCAGCCAAACATGATCCTTTCAATGGCTTTTTTAATGGGTTGTTAATGGTATGATTGAAAAGCAGAGGTTATGAGTTACATTGTTACTTCATTTTGTCTGGCTTCTGTTATCCTACAAACGATTTGATGTCCTTATATTGCGAGCTACTTGCGTATAGGACTTCTAACACTAAGAAAAATTTGTGCAATTCTCTGACCCAGTGGGTTGGGGTGATTTCATTAAGCAGCAGTAGGTTGCCAGATGTTAGGCTAGTGAGACTGATTTTAACTTCAACCCCAATGTCTATGCAAAACATATATTAGAACTTTGATCCCAAGAATTTACTTTGAACACAAGAGCTAAATGCAATTTAAAGCCCTTCCATGAAGAAAATCAAGTCTTCCTATGTTATTCTTTCTTCATTTTAAAAATATAATTTGAGAGAGAGAGAAAAAAACAAATGATGTTAATGGTTCAAATGAACCATTGGGGAGGCATGTGTCACTTCAGTGCTGCAGGATGAGATCTGTGCCCAGACCACAACCTTCCCTTGTGCTGTTGTTAAGTGGTTATACTCAGGAATCTTTGCTGATGAGTTGCAAATTACCCAGAGATCCACCAGTATGTTGAGATCTAGCTTCTAACCACTTCCAAGTTCTCTGTACCAGAGTAATAAGAAATCATATGGTCTTGCATGTCTGTGGTCCAGTTCATAGTACTTAAGATGCTCAACTATATCCCAAGGATTCAGTCCAAATTCCTGGCTCCAGTACTAGATTGAAGTGGAATTTTTCTTGCATCCCTTATATCAGAAGTTAGGTTTCATAATGGCGCCTCATTCTCTTATGTGTCGTAGGCTTCTTGTTAGCCAGATTGCCCCAACCGAGCAGCTCTGAATGCATGTATGTAGGAAGACATTTGCTTGAATATTTAATAGAGCTCTTCCAACAGTGTTTCTTACAGTTATGTCAAAGGGCCATGTAGATAAGGCTATGGACAGGTAACCTGAGTGCTGGATAATGTCTGGCTTCCCCATTCATTTACAAAACCCAAGCACGTTGCTTTATGTGGGTCAGAAGGTTTCTACAGTAAACATTTCTGTTTGCAGTCTGAATTTTTACTATCTTCAAATGAAAGTAAAATAGCAAACATTGCCCTGTGGATCATTAGTTTCTTAGCTGACAACTGCAGTGCCTTCCTTTGGTTGACCACTATCATTTAGAGGAAAAGTTTCCTTGGATAAATGTTTTTACTGAGAAGGAACAACAGGTTGTTTGATAAGCCTGGGCTCTGTGGCAAGGAGTCATTTGCTTTCCCACAGCTGTCACCTGATAACTAAGAGTCTCTCCCTGCCCTCCTCGTGTGTCATTCAACAGAGGAGAAGCTGCTTTGAATTTGCCAGTCTCTCCATTTGCCAAAGACTTCAGTGTCTTTTATATGCCTGAGTTGATAAGTACATCTTGTTAGCTCCTGGGAATCAAGGCTGTAGTAGCTTGTCATTGGTGACAGTCTGATTGTACACTGAACTAAGCATGCTTAAATCCATTGAAATCAGTGGATACAGCTTGCCTAAATCTGGACAGGTTCAGGGCTGAACAGCTCAGAGATGATAATCTTTATTCAACTTTATCAGATACTGCAAGCAGCATAACTGGATGAAGCTATTATGAATCCTCGAAGCTTCAGCAGTTTCTAATGTGCTGTGCATTTAAGGAAACAAAACTGATTAGCTACTCCCCACTTTTTTGCCTTGTCTAAGAAGTATTAGACATCAAAATAGACTTTATATCTTTTATAATATAGAGAGAAAATGATTTAGTAAGGCTGCTCTTGTTGAGACCAACAGTATAATTTAGATCTAGATCAGTTAAAATAATCACCAATTTAATGCTAAGCTGTGTTGTTAAAGGGGATAGATTAATACTTTTATTTTCCAAGCTATCGTACAAAGATTTGCATCATGATCCATGACTCTTGTTTCAGATAACTTTCTGGTAACTGCATCTACTGTTGGTGATAAAATAGTGATTTCCAATTGTAAAGGTAAACCAGTTCCACTCTTTGAATTAGCTGAAGGGGTAAGTAAAACCTGCTCTTTGTTTTACAGTGTAAGCCTATACATAAGTTTACTCAGAAATTAGTCTAATTATAATTAATGGAGCTTAATTCCTGGTATTAAGTAGGTGTGGGACTGAAGTTCTGTACACACTTCCCTGGGGGTAAGACAGTACATAAGATTTGCTAAGAAATTAGAAGTTCTTGTCTCTTGTTTTAACTGGAAAGATATAGAATATACTACTTAATTAGATATGCTCAAATCTGTGACACACTTTGATTCTTTTAAAAAGTCCCATTACTCTTAATGTATGATGTCATGAAGCAGCAATATTAAAGGGGAGAGGCATTGACTTAGTGCTACTTAACAGTGCATGAGCTTACTTGATGGCCACTTTTGCACATCACTGATTTACATAGGCTTCTCTGAAAGATTTAATCAACAGAAATTAGGTTTTGGATGAATTATATGAAAATAATTTCATTACCTATCTTAAAGAAGAGTTTTATTTTTGTAACAGCAACTGCTAGCTGGATAGCTGAGTGAGTTAGGTATTTGGGTGCGGAGCCAGAGGTTGGATGTTTGACTCCCCACTGTGCATCCCAGGGGAAGAGCCACCCTGTGTAGCTTTGGGCAAGCTGCACAGTCTCAGCCTGCTCCCAAAATAAGAGAATGATAAACCACTTCTGAATATGCTATACCTTGAAAATCCTGGGGTTTCCATGGGTAAGAATTGCCTTGATGGCAACTAATTATTTTTAACAGCAACCAAGACAAAGCTCAAGAAAATAAAGATAACTGGCTGTGCTGGTGGTAGTTAGGTAATAGAAATCATTGTTACTAAAGTTTTTGTTTACTCTTGAGTGCTGTAGCGAGTACGTGTCATTTCTTGTGTGTTTCAATGTATCCTATCCTCCTGTGTGGTACCTGAGATGATATATTGAATTGTTTCATTTCCTCCCCACAATCCAGGGGAAACAAACATGTATAAATCTGAGTTCTAATTCAATGTATATTGCAAGTGGAGGCACCGATAGCACTGTTAATATCTGGGATTTAAAGTTCAGAAAACTTCACAGATCTCTTAAGGTAAGACAAACTGTTTTATTTTGGCCATTTCACTGTGTATGTGTGTGACTGATAAAACAATGCTTGGACCTAGACAAATATGCTTAGGTAAAGGTTCCCCTTGACATTTAGTCCAGTTGTGTCCGACTCTAGGATGCAGTGCTCATCCCTGTTTCCAAGCCATAGAGCCAGTGTTTGCCCAAAGATTGTTTCTGTGGTCATGTGACCAGCACGACTAGACACGGAATGCCATTACCTTCCCACCAAGGTGGTATCTATTTATCTACTCACATTTACATGCTTTCGAACTGCTAGGTTGGCAGGAGCTGGGACAAGCGATGGGAGTTCACTCCGTTGCGTGGATTCGATCTTACGACTGCTGCTCTTCCGACCTTGCAGTACAGAGGCTTCTGCGGTTTAACCTGCAGCGCCACCACGTCCTTTATGCTTAGAGTAGATCAATTGAAACCTTAGTGTACATGTTAGTCACAACTAACTTGTCTCAATCTGACCGAATAAGTAATCCCAAATCTGTAATACTGGACTCTGATCTTTCAAAATTAACATTCACAGGTGTTTGTATTTACAGTATAGTAAGGACAGTGTTGCTAAATAAGGGTCTTCTCAAGCCTTCATTCTATTATAGAATAACGGGCAGGAAAGGATGGTTGTCCAAATGTTGCTGGACTGCAACTCCCAAATTATTAGAGCTCTGTGTTCCTGCAAATATGGATAGTGGATTATGTTATCCATTGATACTAAACCTCGAGCTCCTGCAGATAAGGAATATTCACTGCAATACCAAAATAAATTGCTGGACACGAGTAGTAGGGTGATGGTTTTATATATATATACACACACACACATACAGTGGTGCCCCCGTATATATACACACACACACAGTGGTGCCCCCATACTGGATTAATCGTCGCTATCCGGAAACATTGCTAAACGGAGCATAAAACCCCATAGGAACGCATTAAACCTGTTCAGCGAAGATCCTCCATAGGGGCAGCCATTTTCGCCGCCTCGGTAAGCGAGGGCAGCGCGCGAAAATGGTTGCGGCGGCCATTTTTTGAACCGCCAATGAGCAGTGTGAAAATGGGGGCTTTGGTCCTCCCAAAGGCCCCATTTTCACACAGCCGGCCGAAGCGCTTTAGAATGGCGGCGGGGGAGCCCTCCCCCGCGGCCACTCCGAAGCGCCCACGGCGAAAATGCCGCAAAAAAACAACACACACACACACAAACTACAAACATAACCCCCCCCAGTCCAAACCCACCCTCCAAAATCCACACAGAAATTTTTTTTTAAAAGGACTTACCGGTCCGAAGCCTCCCGGCGCTCCTCTAGCCGCCCACGGCCGGGGGCGAGCGGCCAGGAGCCCAACCTGCTCTAGCCTCCCGGCCCTCCGCTGGTTCCGCCTTACCTGCCTCTTGCCCAGTCCCCCCCCC